CTTATGCGATAAACGCTGATGGAAACGTTATTTGCCGAATAAATAATGAATTGCGATTAAGTTTTAGGTTCTTTTATGGTTGCAACATGCCACAAAACGAAGAAGAGTTCATTTCCGGCCAGTATTTCCGCTCTGTTTGCACACTCATGGCGAGTATCAACAAAGACAGAAGCTTCAACCAAAGGGTTTTCGTGAGGTGTCTCTAACCCACGATCTCCCAGAACTGTTTGGAGCGCTGTCCTGGGCCAGCCGTCGCCATCTTGGCAGTGTGTCACCTCTCGTCACTACCGGATAAATTAAAATGGGCAAAGAGGCGGGACACGGGTAGAGCTGAGGTACTATGCTATGCTACTGCCCTCACGCTGAATTGACAGCTGATTGAAAAAGTAAAGCCAATGGTTAAAGTTCATGTTTTTGCCCTTCGATATATTATAATAGTTAAGACGTAACTAAAAGTGAGACTATTTACTTTACTTTTTTATCAACTTTATTAATCTCACAAGGGGCAATTAGTTAAGAGCATGTATGCAACAGTACATTACACAGATCACACACATTTCTCACAACATACAAGCAGTCAACTATGTGCGTCGTGATGCATTATTATTCTGCTAGTTAAAAATGTATTAGTTACTTACAATATTGCTCTAAGCTTGTGCATGTGACAGTGATTCAAGGCAAGCACATGTTGGTCAGCATCTCACGTCAAGTTCATAAAGAGCTTTAATTCAGTCCATTTTACAATCTGATTTTGGCCGTCTCTCAGTTTCTCAGATGGGTCAAACCAAAGATATTACCTCAGAAGTTCAAGAATAATGAACTAGAAATCCACGCTCATTCAAGGGTGTGCATCTATTGCATGGACGGAGAGAACGCACTGAAATAATCAGACATCCATTAGTGCATGCGAGGGAAACAGCTGGAAACACGGCGCTGGTTGTTCTCTCCATACTCAACATGACAGAATCCGACGGCGTGCACAGGTGAAGGTATAATACATGTATTAAATTGTATGAAATAATCCTGGAAAAAAGCACAAACACAGCTGAGGGTGACGCTAACAGACAAACGACTAGCAGTGAACCCGGCGGCAAGAATCCACCTTCACTCAAGTGGCCACGCCCTTAATTATGCAGAACTTTAAGGCTTAAATATAATTTAAACAGATGAGTTGTAAGAAAAATTCACCCCCCTCACAGTCGTCATGAAGGGCAAAATTAGCGATATAGACCAAAACAACTATTTGCCACCAGGCTGTAAACATGTTTTTTTTTTCTGCTGTGAAGTTAGACATTTTAACTTGGGGGAGATACAGATTTGACTCGCTTTTGCAGCCTGCCTCATGCGGCCACTCGATGAATTGCAGTTTAATTCACTTCAGTGTTGGCTTCTAGAGAGAGACGGGGAGGTTGCCCCTTGGCGCTGTCATTCCCACACCACAGGCCGCCTCTGTTGTCGTCGGGCATATGTGCATCTGCATCATCATAGCAATGTGTTGATAGCGTCGTTGTTTTCTTATTATAGCTTGTTATTACATGGCTCAGTTGAATTCTAATGTAGAAAGCGGTGCGGTCTGTTTTTTCTTGATAACAGACTGCGGTGCTGCTAAGTATAACACACCGTTGCCATGAAAAACAGAGTGTTGCCATGGACGCAGTTCAGAGATGGAAAAGACTATTTACTTTAGCAGAAGCAATATAATCGTTTTTAAATCGATAAACTCCTTTTTAAGTCAATATTTTGTGTCATTATTGATTTATTTGGTTGGTAGGCATGTAATAAGCGGGATAAAGTATAGCGAGGCGGTTGTTCTAGCGAATACAACCCCTTCAGGCTAAAAACCGCCTCGCTATTATCCTTTACATATGTCACTATCATATGTCGGCTTGTAAGCACTATTAGTCTACAACTTGTGAAATATTGATCATTTGTTGGTAGATTGGTGAGATCCATTTTGTCCAGCAAAACTTTGTTCGCATATGTTTGCTTGAATGTTGTGCGAAAATGAATGAAAACAACTTAAAATGTCTCAAATCAATTCGAAATTTGATCGCAAAATAGCATGTGACGTCATTACGCAGGTGTTTATTCGCTTTAAAGCCGTTGGATGGAAACACACTTTTACCAACTTTATTCGCATGAGGTTTTTTACTGAACTTCAGATAATTCGATTGACAAGTGGATGGAAACTTGGCTAATGACATGCTTAAAACAGAGAAGTTTTTCCTTTGAGTATATGGTGCGACCTAGGAAAAATTTTGGTCGCACTCTAGAGCCCTGCATTGTCAAAATGATCCCCATTCACATGGATCTGCGAAAACAACTAAAAAATTTTTTTTCACATTTTTGTTGTTTACACAGAGACTGTTTAAAAAAAAATCTTTAAAAAAAATGCCTTTTCAGGCACCCAAAATGCCATTTTCGTGTAAATGAACGGCCAAAACGCATAAAAAAGTTTACGTTTTTAGTTGAAAATGGTGTCACGTAAACAGCCCTTAATGCACAATGAAACATATTCAAAACATAACAGAATAAAATATAACCGTTAAAACTGGAAACAGACCAATCAGGTCTGACATTTTTTATAATGGGTATTTAAAGGAGTCATGTCATGATGAATTATTTTCCCATATTTTTTTTTAGCTTATTGTACTATGAAAATATACAGTAACTTTCAGAGCTCAAATATTCCTTACCAGTTCAAAAAAGCTGAAAAGACATCTGACATTATAAATAATAATAAATGCCCTATTCCTCCTACATTTGTACATCAGCAATGCCTAAAGGAGAAACTTGGCCTGGCTTTAAACAGAGGCTGATAATAAAGGATGAATCAGTTAAAGGAACAGCATCAAAAACAGCTTCTTTATCTAAGGCCCTGTTTAGACCTGGTATTAAGATGCGTTTCGGTCAATCGGATCACAAATAGAGGAGAGAGACATACTCGTCTACACCTGGTGTTTTAATCCTTCTCTTTCTCTTTTACTTTCAACCGCTTCTGTTCTGATCTTTTGATATAATAAACAAAATAAGCTTGTGTAATTTGTGCACAGAGAGGACTGAAAAACATAGAGCTTTCATTTCAGCTCTGATAGCCACTAGACCATGCAGAAGGTTGTGAGTTAGAAATCATGGTGAGAGAACATTGGGCTTGGTATGTTTTTCGTTTTCAAGCCAAACTTTGGTCTTCAGCCGACAAAGTTTAATTCTCATCTGACTAGCGAGCTTCTCATAATGTTTACGTGTTAGTTCAGCAGTGGTGGAGGAAGTACTGAATCTCAGTACTTAAGTAAAAGTACAAATACCCAGATAAATATTTACTTTAGTAAAAGTAGAAGTAACACAATGACAACCATACTTAAGTAAAAAGTACCTGATTTCAAATGTACTTTAAGTATTAAAAGTAAAAGTACTTGCATAACAATTTATTCTCTTAATGTCTATTTTTTTCTAATGATTAATAAAACATTTAATTCTAACTCGTCCCACCTAATACTCCTATAATGATGTTCAATAATTATGGAAAAAAAAATATAGGCCTACACATCAGGCTTATCCTTACTATATGTTAATAACTATGTTTGGCAGTAAACGCAATTAATTTATGGTGTAATTCTGAACCTCTTGGCTTGCCATAATCCTTACCAAACGTATATTACACACGGTGCATTTCCTATGCACGTAAAAAATAATTTTCGCATATAAATTGCACTATAACCACACTGCGTGCGATTTAGCGTGACCGGGTTGATATATCAATGGCAACCAAACGTCACTGGTGAGACAAACGTGCAACGGACGGACGGTCAGATTACGTTTTGGCCGGGGAAAATTGATCAAAAAATGTAATGAAAAAGTAACAGAAGTTGTAGAAATGTAGTGGAGTAGAAAGTATAATAATTGCTCTAAAATGTAACGAAGTAAAAGTAAAAAGTAGGCACTATTTATTCTACTTAAGTAAAGTAAAGATACGTGAAAAATGTACTTAAGTAAAGTAACAAAGTATTTGTACTTCGTTACATTCCACTACTGTAGTTCAGTAGGTGGAAAATAGTAGGTGCGGTCTTTTGTGGCTGTTATAACACATTCAACCACATGGCCCAGCAATATCCTGCATTTCACCGTCTAGGTTTACTACGTATACACCCCATACTATAGTCCATAATAGTAACCCACTTCTAGCCAAAATAAGCTTGAATTTGGTTACTTGTCGTTTTTGACCAAATAACTTGCAAGATGTATGATATTCCATCATGTACATGTACATTCCAACAGTGATTACAAGATGTTTGGTTTTATTTCTTTAATATGTTCTATGTGTAGCTTGTGCTATTTTTGGGCTATGGTTAGACGTCTATAAAATTTTTTACTTGTTTTAGCCTAGACATCAGTGCTGTGTTTGTACAGCCATTAGACGCCTTTTTGGAGAGTGCTGTTTACAATATGAAAGCAATCCTGCCAAATGCTTTTTCAACTACCTCTAGAAAAGGTCAAAAGTAGATAATCTCAAAACATTTTGAGCCTGTTTACACCTGAATTTAGCGTCATCCTCGTGATCTGATCGACCAAAACGCAAAATGAATTGTGACTATTTTTGATTAAAAGAATATCTATCTAACTGAATCTTTTCGATTTAAACCAAATTCCGTAATTTAATTTTATTTCAGTTCAATTCTCAGGGGCGCACAACCCTTGTTGTAACATCTGAAGAATGGAAAAGGAAAAAAATGGTTTTGCCTGTAGCATTTAGATGTTTTCTTGTTTTGTAGACAAAACCTTAAAATTGATTCTGATTGGATAAATAACTCTAATTTTATAGACATTTAATTGGCTCCTAAAAATTAACCAGCAGTCTGTGTGTCTCTAAAAAGGTTAAGAAGGAAACACTACATTTCCCATCATGCATTAGGCATAAGGATGTTGATGTTTTAGCTTGAAAACTGAGAGGAGGGAGCTCAAGAGCTGTGCACCCACCATTCAAAACACACTCACACGCAGAGAGTGAATCGCAGATCACACGCTCATACAGCCCGAGCTCAAATACCAGTCCACGCAGCCAGTGATGTCAGCATTCTAATCGCCACTCTGATTGGTGGAGGGACGTCTGTCAAACATAGGCTGCACATCTCGATCTCAACAGTTGGACCACACAGCCCGGCGAACAGGGTTACTGCCGTGTCAGAAGGGTTTGTGTGGCGAGAGGTGCGCAGAGGAACCTCAGCTGCTGTCTGGTGCATCCTCTCCACAAATTTCCTTACATTGGGATAAGGGACAGTCGTCGGGACTCGCTGCAGACAGCATGCAGCACAGATCCTCTGAAAATACTGGCTTTAACTGTCAGGTAGGATGGAGCCTGAGTGTCTCTCCTGTGTCCTTGAGAGTGTTTGCGTGTGTCTGCAGAGACGTGGTTGATTCAGCGTTGAGTTATTGTTATATAACGGTTAAAGATGTGTTTTTCCTGGTTGTGTCAGGTGCACCTTCATCATCTTCCTCTTTCTCTGTTTGCATCTTCTAGAAGCTATTTTGGTACCTCTTCTCCTTCCACAGTTTCACATTGTGCTTTCTCTTCGCTTTCTCTTTTTTGGGAGGGAAAGGAATTATATCTGGTTGTCGCAGGGGTTTTGTTCTGATCCAGCTCCCTCAAACGGAAGGGATGAGCTTTAGAATGAGCAGATGTAAGCAAATGTGCGTGAGCATTTATTCTTAGGGCAGAAATAGCATAAATGGACCGGAAGAGGAGGACGAAAAGGTCAGAGGAAGAAAACATTGTATCTGACAGGAGAAAATATTTAGGTCGATGATGGATGAAGCTGCAAATGTGTGTTTTAATTATGCTGATGAGGTACGGGCTGTTTGTGTGAGTGTCATACTAGTGCACGGCACTTTCGGCTTTCTAGAAGGATGCTGATGCTGATCCTTCCATTGCCATGGTAACCAGAGCCATCTGTAGGGATCAGTCCCGCAGCTCACGACCAATTGAATGGCTCAGATCCCACTCCCCAACCCCCCCTCCCCCCCAAGTCTCTTCAGTCGTCCCAGTAATCCCCTCTCTCAACGCTCACGGTTGTTACTGCATGATCACGCGGTTTTGAAGGCTCACATGCAGGGAAATCTCTTGGACAGACGAACAGAGTTGGTGAATAACGTGACCCATGGCAGGTGACACGTTGTTCTGTTTCAGCTGTTAAAAGGGTCTGGCGTCGTGATCTGGCACTGAGCTGAAAAGTGATCTTTTATGGAGATGACTGTATACAGCAAATGCAGTTTATCATTTAATAAAGTTCCACAGGCCGTGGAAGTGGGTCACAAAGTACCATGACCCAGAAAACTACAGAGCTGAAGAAGATTAACAGAAAGTGATAGCATTCCGGTGAGCGAAGGCCTGTTTACGGCAAATCTGGTGGGACTAAGACCAGATTTTTATTTTTGCAAGGTCCCTCTATGACTAGGCAACTTCGGTCCTGGTGGGCCACTGTCCTGCAGAGTTTAGCTTTAGCCCTGATAAAAACTCACCTGCCTGTATCTATCTATTAATCCTGAAAAACTTGATTGCCTTGTCCAGATGTGTTTAATTAGGGTTGGAGCTAAACTCTGCAGGAAAGTGGTCCTCCAGGACTGAAGTTGCTGATCCTTGCTTTTGGGGCTACGTACGATTCATACGGATTAATTTTAATACCTCTTTATGAACTTTTGAAGTGAACCAACCAAAGCTGCAGTTCGTAGATTTTTTTGGGTTAAAATTATCCAAAATACATTTGAGAGAAAACATAACCAGCCAGTGTTCAAAACTATCTGCTTGCATAAGGAAAAACTCTGGACTACAGCTTAACTTTGTCAATCAACAATGTTTTTTTTTTTAAAAAATAGTGTTAATTTTATCTTATTTTTTATTTGTTTAGGCAAAATAGTAAAGAATTTTAATTAATTGTTTATTTGCTTTAATATGAAATTATGGGGCACAATTATAAAAAAACTGTGAGTTCACAATATAACTCTAGTTCTTTTACAAGAGAACTGCGCAATATCTTACGCTAGGGGAAAACCTCTTTTCTCACGCATCGCAGGATCTGGAGTGAAGAAGCCGCGCTGTCTGAGAAAAGCCTTCTGCAGGACGAGCCTCTGCATCTGAAGCCGCTGGCCTTCAGTCGCCGTACCTGCTACGCTTTCCTGCATTATATCCTTATACTCTGCATAGTGTGTGTGTTTGTCGCCGCGACTCACATTCTCTCTCTATCCTCTCTAAAAGAGCAAGCCTCTTTTTAAATATGCCTTTCTCCTGCGGCTCATGCCGAGCCCCACTCAGCAACACGGACCGCCATGTAATTTGCGTTTCCTGACTGGGAGAGGATAATGCACCTCTCGCGCTCGCCCAAGGCGGCTGCCCTCACTGCGAGCTATTACCCATGGTGACTCTAAGGACTCGCCTGGCATCCTTCGCCACGACAGTGCTGCGCCGTAAAATGCTCTGTACTCTGCGGGTCCCTGAGCCTTCTCTAGTCTGCGACAGCTTGCCGGTTCGCCCGCCAGCTTCACCAGCTTCACTCGGGTCGCTCACCAAAGGAACAACGGCCGCCATCGGCCGCCACATCCGCCATTGACGATGATGAGGCAGCTGTATCTGTGGAGGAGGCCAGCTGCTCTATACTGGCCTCAGACAGTGAGGATTGTGCAAGCTCCGTGGACCTCCCCCCTCTGCCCGAGAATCATCAGGGAAGCAGGCCAGCATGAGTCGGAACTGATGCATCTGCCCTAACAGGCCGTGGCCTTGACTGGGAGGCTGCTGCGCATCTTGCGCGCAACCGGCTGGATGGATGTCTCCAGCAAAGGGGCCGCGCCCCACTGCCTTCTAGGCCTGCGCCTTTTCTTCCTGAGCTCCATGAATAAGTTGCAAATCCTGGAACGTCGCCTTCTCAGCCAGAGTGCTCTCCTCTGTCTCAACAGCATTCTCCATGGTGGATGGTGCGGAACTCAGAGTATACCACTCTCTTCCTCCCGTGGAAGAAGCTGTAGCGACCTATCTTTGCCTGCCCTTTGCTGGACGGCAAGCTAAGACGGCGCTACCTTCCAAAATATGCCGCACTACATCCGCCATGCACACCCGCGCTTATTCCACCACTAGGCAGGCTGTGTTGGCATTGCACTCTATGGCCATATTGCTGTTACTCCAGGCCAAACTTCTCAGAAAAGCTTTAGAGCACTACGTGGCCCGGGACTAGAGACCATGCTCTCACTCGCCGCTCCCCTCCGTGTGGGCCCCGGCCGAAGATTGAGATTGAGGCTCAAAGTCTTCCTAGCCCTCCTAGGAAAACGACGGTGTTCAAGTCTCGCCGCGGCCAGACTTCCACCAAAACTATTCGCTCGCTCAGTTCTAGAAAATGCAGGCATTCCAGCGTAGTCTGCAGTAAACAAGCCGTGTATTCTGCAGCAAACAAGCCACAGCCTGCTTGCTAGCACACAAAAACCATTTTTACGGCGACCCAGATGAATCACATGTAGAGTGTAATTTCTGGTATTCCGGCCACGGCCGATGGTGTTATGAATGTAATAAAAATCCCTACAGCTCAGTGTTCATTTTTACACACAAACACAGCCTGCCACAGTACAGGGGTCATACAAATAAAATGGTCTCATGTCGATTGTGCATTAAATGCAGTGAATGTGCCCACAACCCAGTGACCACAAACACTACATACTACATCTCCCACGGTTTCTGTAAAAAACGAAACCAACTCGTATAGTTAGCTCAGGCCGACTGTGTTTTCAGTGCAACAAATGTGCCTGCTGTTTCATGCCCATATTCGCTCACAGACTCGCTTTCTCTCAAACTGTTATAAGGGCGCACCCCTGCCTCAAACACTGCAAGCACAGTGTTTACGTTATAGCACACCAAAGCTCTCCATGTTGTGGCCAGAGCCCAGATCTCATTCTACCCCTAGCTATTCATGCAAATGCGTGGGCAAAGCTTCCAGGGGTCTTAGAATGGTTTCTGAACATTATAAAAAGAGGCTATACGCTGCAGTTCAGTTACGGCGCAGGGCGAAACTATGGTAAAAACCTAAGTAGCCTGTCTACTTCGAGCTGAAATAGCGAAACTATTGAGCAAAGGGGCAATGTAGCCTTTATCTGAAGCTCAGAACGAAGGGAGCCTATACAGCAGATATTTTCTGGTACTGAAAAAAGGCGCGGGTCTCAGACCCATTCTAGATCTAAGACAGCTGAACAAAGTGGTTGTGAAACGCCAGTTCAGAATGCTCACAACCAGGAAAATCCTCAAGCAGATTTGCCATGGGGACTGGTTTATGTCAGCAGATCTGAAGGACACGTATTTCCAAATACAAATAGCGTCACATCACAGGTGGTTCTTGAGATTCGCCTTCGAGGGCCAGGCATATCAATACACAGTCTTACCGTTCGGCCTCTCCATAGCACCCTGTACATTTACAATGTGCATGGACGTGGCTCTCGCACCCCTGAAACTTCGGGGCATGCGAGTTTTGAACTACTCGGACGATTGGCTGATTCTAGCTCGATCACACTGAGAGCTCATAGAACACAGCCATAGTACTTGAACCTCTCGAGAATCTAGGTCTCAAAGTCAATTGGGCGAAAAGTTTGCTGTCTCCCAGTCAGAGAATATCTTTTCTGGGCACAGAACTTGGCTTGCTGTCTATGACAGTGCGACTGTCGATTAGAAATGCATCACAGCTCTGAAACCTTGAAGAGCTATCGACTGGTACCAGTCAGGTGTAAACCTGAGGACTTCCTCGAGTGTGAAGGTGGCGCTGCTCGAGGGCAGACCATTCTTTGGCCAGTAGCCAGAACGAGAAAAGCTCCTACACATAAACTGTCTAGAATTGATGGCAGTCGACAACAGGCTAAGGCGCTTTTGTCCCCGAATAAAAGGTCACCACGTCTTGGTCCGCTCAGACAACATGTAAGTGGTGGGCTACATAAATCGCCAGGGAGGCGTCAGGTCCCGAAAGCTTTACAGGCTGATGGAATGCCTCCTGATCTGGGCTCAGCACAATCTGCGCTCATTGAGAGCAGCACATATGCCTGGTCACCTGAATTTGGGACCAGACAGACTGTCTAGAAACAATGTTCCAGCAGAAGAATAGTTTCTGCACCCACAGACGGTCCTACTGCTGTGGGACACATTCGGCAGAGCGCAGGTAGACCTGTTTGTGTCCAAAGAAAAGGCTCTCTGTCCAAAGGACAGGGATGTGCTGGCCCACGTCTGGACCCGCTACCCATTCTATGCTTTCCCCCCTGTCTCTCTCCTGCCTCAGGTATTGGAACAAATCAGGGAAAATAGACGCTCAGTGCTACTTGTGGTTACTT